TCATCGTCTCTTTTATCCAGGAACCTGAGGTGACAGGCTTTCAGCTGCCTGCCCTGTTTGGGCTGCTTTCTGATGCGTCCCTCCTGCCACTTCTTCACGAACTCGATGAGTTTGTTCCAAACCTTGCACGATAGTGGTAGATACCACAAGCCACCGTGGCTTTGTTTAGATACAGTTAGGACACTTCAGGTGGTAGGTAGTTTTTTCACCTGCTGGGAATTCTATAGACCCACACATTTGAAGTGATACCACCTGTCACAGACATCACACCCCTCACTGCCGTCACTGAACCTCTTGAAATTGTCAAGGCATGGTTTTGCACATGTAGGGCATATGACAGGGGCCGGTGCTGATGCAGCCTGACTACTGTGGCCATTACTAGAACTAGACTGGCTTGTGCCTGCTACTTGACTAGCATCTTTACTACAACTAGACTGTCGTGTGCCTGCTACTTGACTAGCATCTTCACTAGAACTAGACTGGCTTGTGCCTGCTACATGACTAGCATCTTCACTAGAACTAGGCTGGCTTGTGCCTGCTACTTGACTAGCATCTTCACTAGAACTAGGCTGGCTTGTGCCTGCTACTTGACTAGCATCTTCACTAGAACTAGACTGGCTTGTGCCTGCTACTTGACTAGCATCTTCACTAGAACTAGACTGGCTTGTACCTGCTACTTGACTAGCATATTTCACCATCAATCTGCGCCTTTAGGTTACCTGTGAGCAGCTCAGGAGGAAACATGTTCTTCAAAGAAGTAGTCCAGAGCAGAACACATGCCCTCCCAGTAGCTACTGTCAAACTCTATATTGACCTTGACACTGCCATGTCTGCTAGCAGGCTTTTAGCTAGGAATGATTTTTAGTGAGTACACCCAGTATTTGATGTGCGGCGGAGCCGCGCGCTCGCGCCGGTATCCTCCCCCGAAAAATGTTGAAATTTGAACTCTCTGAAACGCTATTTCCTGCATTTTGAGGTGGATTACGGCCACCTTTTTATCTTTGGAGAAAGAGGAAATATATAGAGAGAGGATGGCCAGGTACATCCTTTATTTCTATTTCTATTGGTTAAGAACAGAGCAGATGCTGAACGTTTGAAACTACTTCTGAAATGTCACATACATGTTTTATTTTCTTAGATGTCAGCCGCGAGCGCGCGGCTACGCCTCACATCAAATACTGGGTGTGTACTCACTAAAAATAATTCCTAGCTGTCAAGGTCTGCCACCTCAGGTTCAGACAGGTTCAGGTTCAGATGCTGACAGGAAAACAAGCAATTGGTCAATACAATCAATAGCACTTCAGTTTATACACCTGCATTGGGAAAGATTGAATGCAAAAAGGAATAGAAGAAATTCACTTACCACCATAGATCTGCTGGTTCTCCACATTGTTGCCACCAAAGGCAACTCGGTCGGCCGGTAGTGGTGGAAGTACACCTGGCCGTCGTCATCCTCCCTTTCCTCACCCCTAAACCTCGCGGACACCATCTGCTTGAAAGCCACAAATTGGCTTTCACACATACATCTTTCCACGTAGCCGTCGCACAGGTTGCCATCCCTCGTGGCCTTTTGCTCGGCATAATGATCCAGAAGCGTGGCCAGCTCCCGTCAACCCCAGTATGCTAAGGCTTGGTTGTCCCCAGGCTGGTTCAAAGACCTGCAACAAGTGAATGCTATTTAGAATATACATAAGCTATTTTGACATATAGTGCAGCAAATTGCTTAACACTGGAAATGTGGTGCACTAACGTACATATTTTTTTTCCAATGTATACAGACCTTCATGGCATCCAGCAGGTCTTTACGGGGAATCGTGCCCTTATGTTTTCCAGGAGTCGGTCCAGGAACTCTTCTCTGACTGCTATACACATAGAATATACATGACGTACACCCTGTCAGAGCCATCTGTCCCTGACACTGTGCATAGTAGGCATGGTTCTGTTTGAGCTTAACTCCATCAGGACTTTCATACAGATAGCTAAGAATGTTGGCATTTGGCGCAGTATCCTTACAGGTCAGGGACACTTCAGCTCTACTACTACTTCCTCATGGCACTTGCAGCTGAACTTGACATCAGGTGAATCACCTTGTGCTCTGATAGTCTCATCTGGGTGCACCTTCATGCTCACTGGAAAAATTCTCAGAGAATTCTTTGCTTCGTCCTCCATCTCTCGTCCATACTTTAAAGCAAGTATACTCTCACTAACACGAGTGTAGCCCATTATTTTTGTCAGAAGGACGTCTGTTGGTGTGCCAGGCTTTGCTTTGATTGTTTTGACTTACGTGTACACGCTGTAGAAATTTGATGCAGTGATCCGTCCACGGCGAGCCATGCTCCAGATTGGGGAGTTGCTCTGAGCCCTGGTTGCCTTTTCCAGAACTTCTACATCATCCTTACTTATGATGAGGAAGTTAATGGGTAGCAGAGGTGTATGGCCTAGCCAATACATCCATAGAGAGGGACTGGGGAGTTCGAGGCTGTGCAGATGTAACGCCAGCCTGTTCCTGGTGGGGTTGTGCCTCCAAGGCTGTGAAAAGTCCAGCCTCTGGCACAGCTTGTCGAAGGACCTTGGCTAGGTTGGTTCTCTTGACAACGTCTGACTCTTGGTGCCTTTCCCCACAGGTTGAAAGAGATTCTTCTGTTTTGCAGCCACTTGTTGGGAATCTGAAAGTTAAAAAAAATAGTTCAATGTATATGAATTCTAGTATTAAGCCTTTACCTAACAAATTGAAAAGACCTACATCAAGAGTATACCAGTTAGGAATGATTATATTTCTTATATATGTGGATACAGATTCCATCTGCTCATTTAACAGTGTCTTGATGCTCTGGTAATAGAAAATCAGTAATCGGTGACAATTGTTAACTGAGAGTTGCAACTGTTTCTATTAAATTCAGCCACCATCTGAATGACATATAGTTGGGTTTAAGGAAAGTTTGTTTGCGGAAAACCACTGTGAGACTCTGACTAAATCACTTTGGATAGTATGTTCGATTGTATGAAGACTGAGGGCAGAGAAGTATGGTGTCGTCAGCATACATTGCAACTTTACAGGACTGGATGCAGATTGGCAGATAATTATCTAACAATCAAGATAGAACAAGCAGGAGTGGCCTGAAATGGGAAAGTTTAATTGCTTTCCAAAACAAAACGCCATTCAGTAAGTTCAAGGAACATTCAAGTACTAGTAACCATATATCAAACTTATCCACAGTTAACCTCGTACCAGTAGATATACTATCACTATAGCTAAGGTGGTGATGGGGAGGTGGTGGGTCGAAATTCAAACGGAGCGGACCGAAAACATGAACCGTCTCCCCCAAAAACAGAACAAACTGAGAAAGTTCGAAGGTCACGGGGGGAGCGGTCACGTGGTTTGTGGGCCGAACGAAATCTTTTAGTTGTTTCTAATTACGAAAAATTTTCATGCGGACAATTTTTCCCAAATTATCTAACAATCAAGATAGAACAAGCAGGAGTGGCCTGAAATGGGAAAGTTTAATTGCTTTCCAAAACAAAACGCCATTCAGTAAGTTCAAGGAACATTCAAGTACTAGTAACCATATATCAAACTTATCCACAGTTAACCTCGTACCAGTATATATACTATCACTATAGCTAAGGTGGTGATGGGGAGGTGGTGGGTCGAAATTCAAGCGGAGCGGACCGAAAACATGAACCGTCTCCCCCCAAAACAGAACAAACTGAGAAAGTTCGAAGGTCACGGGGGGAGCGGTCACGTGGTTTGTGGGCCGAACGAAATCTTTTAGTTGTTTCTAATTACGAAAAATTTTCATGCGGACAATTTTTCCCAAATTATCTAACAATCAAGATAGAACAAGCAGGAGTGGCCTGAAATGGGAAAGTTTAATTGCTTTCCAAAACAAAACGCCAAAATAAGAAGGCCAAACTGCAAAAGAAAAGAAAATGACCCACAACGAAAGAAACAAACAAAATAACCTCCCCCATACCACAACCAACTTAAAACAACATTGCAATCAACATTAAACACAATATAGCTACTAGTAAGTTGTGCGGATCTGATGCACCATCCTAGCACAGAGTTCTAAACGTTTTTCCAACGGAACCTTCAGGTATAGTAAATAAGCATCTGACTTCCAGTCACCTTGAATACGAATAAGATCAACTGGTACACCTGCGTGGAAGGCAAATGACGCACCTCCGCGACGGCCACTATGCAATGAATAACATCTGGGATCCAAACCAGCTCTAACTAGAATTCTCTTAAACTCTCTGTCAAACACATTCTGAGTTAACGGTACAAAGGTAGATTTGTAGGGCTTTACAAACGCAGCCTCTGTGTTCCTATTCGTATTGAGACTAACCATATTGCGAAATGCAGTCACAGGACATAACGGCGAGTTCGGTATCTCAAGCACTGGTACATACAAGACACGTTCAGCACATTGCAGTGTTTTTGACCACCTTATTCTGACTAACAATACTCCTCTGTGTACCACAAAATCTCTCAGCATGAACTGCTTAGTAGGATCAAATGTACTCTTAGCTAAGAAGTTCGACTTCCGCTGGAAAGTAAAGAAACTTAACAATACAATAGTCCAAATCGTTGCTTCAAAAGGAACTGAAATGTCCAATTGTTCATAAATCCTGTGCAACACTGATGGAGTGAACGGCAATTTCTGATGAGGTGTATGCTGCATTCGCTTGCTGAATCCCCGTTTCAGTAGTCCCAAGTCCGGTGAATCAAACGCGGCAGTGTCCCAGCCGAACAATGTGTGCAAGGTCTTAAGACCGCTAATATAATTTGCAATTGACCCCGGTGCTCTGAAAGAACGACTTAAAAACTGAGAAAACGTCTCTAGTGTGTCCAAGGTGGCTGGAAAGGCAGTTATATCATAAAATGTACAAAACAAAAGATAAGTCCTCAACTGTGTTCTAAGATTTGACCAAGTTCCTTCCGCGAAGGCAGCAAATTTTGTCCGACGTGCCTGTTCTCGCAAGTAGCTCAGGTCTGTCTCAGCTGCAACATAAAACACAAAGAAAGCAAACTGTCAGTAAGGGCAATCCAGGACGAAATCTTCCTGAAATACCGGTATTTCTATCGTGTCCACATCCTCTGTCAAGATGTGAAACTGTTCAGCATGTTTCGATGAGAGATGCCATCGCGACAAGTGGTCGGCGACTCGGTTCTCCCGTCCTTGAATATGCTCTGCCCGTAAGACGAAATCGCACGATGCCGCGATCAGCCAAAGTTCTCTCGCACTATGAAGCAAATCCTTGTCTCTTGAACGTCCCGAATTCAACACATAAACACACGCCATATTGTCACAGTTGATCACGATTCTGGACCCTCTCCAGCCTGGTCCCCACTTCCTGGCCGCTACCACAATCGTCAGCATCTCCAAGACATGTATTTTAGCTCCATATTGTTCGAGAACAGCAGTCGGGAACCTGGAGTGAAAGAACTCACCATTACAGATTCCCCCGCACCCTGTCAGACACGCATCCGTGGCCACAACTTCATCCGGTGCACAATAGATGTCCGGAGTCAATAGTGAGACTCCATTGAACAAGGTCATAAAACGTCGCCACCAACGCACATCCAGCTTAAAGTCACGAGACAACCGAATTCTATGATGACTCCTGCGGACACTTCGTAGTACTTCCAACATGCGCGAAATGAAAAGACGTCCAGGTGCCACGCACGCAGACACGAATACCAGTTTCCCAATCAGTGACTGAAGCTCGCGTTTCAAAGCTTTCTTCTTGTCAATCCACGCGTCAAGTAACAGTCTCACTTCCTCCAACCGAAACTGTGGGACTCGCTTCACCATCGCTACGGTATCAAACTCAGTCCCTAGAAATGTCATGCAGGTCGTAGGCTCCACCGCTTTTTCAACCGACTCTTCCAACCCCAGGCTGTGTAATGTTCCCTGCAAACTGTTGAAGGCCTCCATCGCGACTTGAGGGTACTCTGCTCCCCCAAAATCATCTAGATAATTGCAAATTGAATAACCTTTCTTTTGTTGTATGAACGTGACTGCAGAGGTGGTTGACTGACAAATAAAAGCACTAGAACGAAGGCCAAAAGGGCACCTTGTATCAACATACCACTTGTTCCTCCAACAGTAACACAAATACTTGTAGTCTTTGGGATCAACCGGAATTTGTCTATACGCTCGTTTCAAGTCCGTCTTGTATAATAAACAGCCACGCCCCTTGTCTAATATCATATGCGACAATGTATCCACGGAGGGGTAGGTCAACTTAAACTCCTGTCCTAAATAATAATCCTTGGGAACAGCATCATTAATAGAGAAACCTGCCGGAAAACTGCAGTCTACTACAACTCTTCTCTCTATACTGTCTCTCTTCTCTACTGTCTGTAACGGAATCGGCACCGCCGGGAACGAAAAAGGATTCGAATCAAATGGTCCGGCTATGGCACCCAAACTAAGTTCTTTGGAAATAAACGCATCTACATGTCCCGCATAATGTCTAGCTGAGTAATGATTCTGAAAGGATACGTCGACCGGGCGTTGATACAATTCCGGCTCCACATTAATCGGCCACCCGAATGCTAAGAAATCAACAATACGTCTGTCTTCATAGTCCACTAGTAGTTCTCTCCATGTATCGATTTTCAAAGCCGACTCCACTGGAACACGTGCGCCAACAAAGTTATGTCCTTCACACGCCGACACCACCCTGTGTAACTCGATCGCCTTGTCTGGGTGCGCTGCTCGCACCGCCCTGTACGGAGGGAGTGACGGAGGCTCTTCCACCAGCTCTTGCCTGAGCGGCACGAAAGGATGCTTCGTTGTAGGGGCAGCGGTCTCGGGGATGTGGCTCCTGGGTGTGGCGGTACACCAGGCAAGCGCTGCAGACATGTAGCACGTTACTATTCCATCTCGCACTCCAGTGCCCGGATGGCAGGGAACATGATCCTGACTGAAAACCGCCACAATAACGCGGTCTAGAAGTGCCTACTGTATCACGTGAGGGTGGCTTACCCGTCCGTGGCTCCGCCCCCTGAGCACTCCCGGTTGCAACACCACCCTGTGTACGATAATGTCTGTCCCTGATTGTGTCCAACATGTCGGAATCAGACCAAGTCACCGTCTCGTGCTCCAACCCGTACAAAACCGCTGCATGTAGCTCTCTAACCGTGACCCAATCATGGTAAACCGCATCAAACATCAAGTCTGACAGATGACATAACTTGTCCTCGACCACACGGGGAACTTTGTGACAATGAGACTCGATCACATTCTTTACATAACCATGTACAAACATCGGTAATGTTAGTTCATCATAAGTCACGCCACCATTTTTTCCGTAGCCAGGGAAATGAGCCCTTTCTTGTGGCCATTCTATCTTAACACGAGCGGAGCTAGCATCATTTATGGTACGAGTGCGTCCTGTCTTACCTTTCTTTTGACGCCTGTCTCTTGAACGCGA